TATGACGGACTCTTAAGCCTAACTCTGCCAAGAAACGTCAAACTCGTAGCATATGCAGATGACTTAGCCGTAGTGATTGTTGCCAAACATCTTGACGAGATAAACCATATGTTTGATCTCACTTTTGAGCGCGTTAACCGGTGGATGAACGCAGTGAACCTGCAACTGGCGCAACACAAGACTGAGCCAGTGCTTATTACCAGCAGAAAAGTGGTAAAGACCATTAAGCTGAGAGTCGGCGAACAAGAAATCACATCACAACCTTATATCCGATATTTGGGAGTGATGCTTGATGCCCGACTCAACTTCAAGCAGCAATTGGAGCATGTCAGTGCTAAAGCATCAGTAGTGAGGGCTAGTCTAGCACGACTGATGCCGAACGTCGGAGGCCCAAAGCAGAGCAGGAGGCTATTACTGTCATCAGTAGTCACATCGGTGCTCACTTTCGGAATATCCATTTGGGCCGACACACTAAAGACGCAAAAATCATGGAGAAAGGCTGGGCCAGTATATCGACTGAGTGCCCTACGAGTAGCTAGCGCCTTTCGCACAATATCAGAGGATGCAGTGTGTGTTATTTCCGGTACTCTGCCTCTCAGAGTCCTAGCTGAGGAAAGACGGAACCTATATCAGCGAAAAAGGTCAACCACAATGAGCCCTGAAGAACTTAGAAGCGAAGAACGGCAACACAGCATCGCAAGATGGCAACAAGAGTGGAACGCTTCAGATAAGGGTCGGTGGACGTACTGTCTCATACCTCGGATTGAAGTGTGGTTCAACCGGAGTCACGGTGAGATCAACTATTACTTAACGCAGATGTTATCAGGACACGGATGTTACCGGAAGTATCTCCACCGCTTTAAGCATGATGATACCCCAGAGTGCCCGTCCTGTCCAGGGGTCAATGAAGATGCGGAGCATGTCTTCTTTGCGTGTCCACGCTTTGATCCTCAGCGAAATGAGTTGGAAAGGATCCTGAACCGGAGAATCCAACCAGAAACAATAGTAGAGACAATGTTGTCGAGTCAAACTGCTTGGAACGCTACAAGCACTTTTGCCACAGAGGTCCTTACGGAGCTGCGTTCCATTGAAAGAAAAAGAGCGAATGACAGAAACTAGAAGGAAGAAATAACATCTTAGCCACCAGAAGGAAGAGCGGCAGCTAATTCCTCCCCCCCCCCGCGAAGAAATGCCTTACAGCGGTGCCATGGGGGGATCAGAGGATAGAAGAGAAAGGGGTTTAGGGTTTAGTGGGTAGGGGCGTCAGCGTCAAGTTTTTAGTATGTTGCTGCGTCGAGTCGCCACATATCCGGGCCAACATCTATGCCTAGAATCCGTAAAAAGGATTCCCCCCCTAAAGGGAAAAAAAAAAAAAAAAAAAACACACACACACATACATACATACATACATACATACATACTGATGTACGGACATCTTCGTGAAAATAGTCAGGAAAACTTCCTAGGATCTCGAAACGTCGAGATCCGATGAAAACTCGATTTTCGAAAAACGGGATAAAACCAATAACTTCCCGATTTTTGAAAATTTTCAATTTTCTTAGCGGGAAGTTAAAAATTTTAAAAACAAAAACGATTAATGATAATGTTAAGCCTTTTATCCTAGAATTGGATGATTTTAAGAGGAAGTACGAGCGCCAGGCAGGGTGAGGATAGGTATCGACTCTAGCGCGGTAAGGGGAGAGCAGTAACCATATAATTTTTCTCAATAAATAGATATACATTTAACATTGGCTAATGGCGGCATTTATTTTTCTTCTAATTAATACACTTTAATTAGTCGGGCAAGTGTCAATTTTTTTAAATTAAATTTATCACTAATATATTCACTTTCACCCATCGATTTTTTGTAAATATTCACCGACAGTTTTACGAGAAAAATACAGAAATGTATCAATGTTTGGAGGTTACCCCATAAGACCAATGTTAAATTGCTCAACTTTGAAGTTAATTATTTATTTAAATAATCGGGCAATCTCTTTCAAATTTTCAGAATTTGTTTAGACACATTTAAACTTCATATTAAAAAAAATCAAGCCTTTTATCGAAAGTTGTCTTGGAGCTCGTACTTCCTTAAAAAAGAAGAAATTTCACGTTGGCTCGTAAATGATGATATGGAAAAGAACGAAATATTGGCCAACAAAAGACAACTTGTTTCTGATGCTATAAAGATAAAATAGATAAAACCGGCAAGATTCCACGATAGTTTAGCTGATGATCACATCGACTTCACATTGATAGAAAATTATTGTGAAGTTGACACCTTAAAGAGACTTCAAAAACTGATTGAAATAAAAATTAATGATGACTTATTCGGGTGCAAACTGTGCAGAAAAAATTTTTAATCTATCTCAATACAATGCGCGACGCTTACTTTGAATGGATTCACCAGAGCTGCGCAAATTTTAAAAAAATGCCTTCAAAAAAACGATCTGGTTTTGCACAAGATGTCGTGAATAGTTATTAATTATTAATCTAAAAATTTTTAATTACCTTCAATTAAACTTTTCCGTTATTTTTACTTTCGTGTTCTTATTCTTTCATTAACATTTTACTTATTAATTACACTGGCCCACAAAAAAAAAGTGCTCTGTACTTTTGACCGAACCTAACTATCCTTAATGTATTTCGACGCGCTAAATCCGAATTTGAAGTCAGATTTACCCATACACCCTCAAAATTTTGAGTAAAATGCAAGAAACCCAAAAAAAAAAGGTAAAAAATTGCAAAAAACTTCAGTCACAGCAATGAAAAAATTTTTTTGGACCTAGATTACGTATGATTCTTATGTATTTCATAGCTCGAGAAGTCAAAATTTGAAAAAATTGCAAGAAATCATAAAAAATCGTAGTTATCGAGATTAAAAAAATTTTTCGGATTTAGAGTGAGTATGATTTTTTAAGAATTTTAAAAATTTTAAAACGTCAATGGTACAAAGAAACTTCAGATTTAAATTCAGTGGATTAAAGAACATAAAAATCATACTCAATCTGAATCTAAAAAAATTTTTTAATCTCAATAATTTCGATTTTTCATGATTTCTTGCAATTTTTTGGGGGTTTTTTGCCATTTTTTCAAATTTTGACAGCTCGAAGAGCTACTAAACGTTTAGATTGAGATTCTGTGAATTGAGATACATAAAAATCATACGTAATCTAGGTCCAAAAAAAATTTTTTCATTGCTGTGACTGCAGTTTTTCGCAATTTTTTGCCTATTGGGCAATTTTTTGGGTTTTTTGCATTTTACCCAAAATTGTGTGGGTGTTTGGGCAATTCTGACTTCGAATTCAGCGCGTCGAAATACATAAAGATAGGTAAGTCCGGTCAAAAGTACAGAGCATTTTTTTTTTTGGGTCGGTGTTATTTATAACTGGTATATTTTGTAATGTATTTTTAAAATATTAGTATACATACTAGTTATAAAGAAATGACAAGAAAACTTTAACATAAAATAATGGACGGTAAAATATCAGAATAATAAAGTTTAGTTGTCATTTCTTTAAAAGTAGTATGTGTACTAATATTATAAAATTTATTTCATTTTATAAGATCTATACAAAATAATACAAGTTAATAAAATGTTTACTTTATTTTTGTTTGTTTAAATTCAAAAGAAAATTCAATTATCGAAGAAAAAGATGAAGAAGGAAAGATAAAAAGCTGACGTAAATTCAACAAGAATGTAATAAAAATAATTACATTCTAAAAAAATAAATATAATAGTACCGAGATTCTGATAACTTAACATTATTTTATCATATTAATTAATGGTTTTTGATATTTTATCGATTTAAAAAATTTAATAGAGCCTTAGAACAAAGTAATAACTCATGCCGACGGGTAGAACGCTAGAGTGAGGCACGCTAGCGTGTAGGACGCTAGAGTAAGACACGCTAGCGTGTATTGAGGTCACTGGAATAAACTTCATGGAGCCTTAGAACAAAGTAATAACTCATGCCGACGTGTAGAGCGCTAGAGTGAGGCACGCTAGCGTGTAGGACGCTAGTGTGTATTGAGGTCGTTGGAATAAACTTTATGGAGCCTTAGAACAAAGTAATAACATTAAAATTAAAATTAAAATAAAATTATTTTTCATTTGCATATCATTGATTCATGATAAAATAGAAGTTTTGACGAAATTTCGTTTTAACATAAAATGATTCAGATAAAAGTGTTAAAAATTTTTAATCCTTCTTAATACTTATGAATTATAAAAATATGATTAAAGAGAATTTAAAAATATTGAAAATTTTCTATCGTTCCAAATCCTTTTCAATATTATTTTCAAGATTTATAAGGATTCTAATTTATTGTAAATTTTCAATTGTATCAAATTCTTTTGTCTAATCGGGTATATATTAATTGACTTAAACAATATAATTTTACAGCAAATGTATGCGACTACATTGAACAAAACCCCGTTGTTTGCTTTTTCATTCAAAAATTAATCTCAGAAAAAGAACTAATAATTAAAATAACTCTTAAAAGAATTATAAATAAATCTTGTTGACTAAATTCCTATTCACATTTTCAAAAATTCTATATTTTAGATTAACAATTGAATATAAAGATAAACATAGTTACTCGAATGCTAATAAGATTTAAGCACAAGACTATAGAATGGATATAATTATTATAAAAAATGCAATATTAAAATAAAATAATGTAAATTAATTTATTAAAAGACAAAACTATTATTAAATTGAATGAAGATAATGGCATTAAAAATATTACATTTCTTTCAAAACAGATGAATTATTATTATACGATTGATTGAAAAGTGTCTGATTTCGTATTGCACGCACTTTACCTTATATCCACTGAAATATCAATACAAAATCGTAATCTAATTACAATAAACAATAACAGATAATGAACAGTCTCAGTTTTAAAGTTTTTTTCTCTTAGTGTAGAATTTTCTTACATTCTATATATACAAAATTTTATTATTAAATCGTAAATAAGTGTTAATTTCAATAAAAATATAACTTTCATGTTATGTACACATGCAGGTAATAATTTTTTTTTTAATTCTTACACATTTATCTAACACATAAATTTTTCCGAAATTTTTCTTTAATTACAAAAAATTAAGAAAAAAATTCAAAAAACCTGAAAAATTTTATTTCAATCCTCGGATACAAATATTTTTTACTGCAATACTGTAATTTATTAAAATACCAAAAAATTTACCAAAAATTTTTCTTTAATATTGTTAAAAAATCATCTCTCAGTTAAAAAATCATTTTAGCGAAAATGTGGAAAATATTCCGCCTTCATCTGATGGCTCTGTGGCCGGTAATGGAAATACATATGAAAAAAAAAAAATACAGAAGTAGAAAAAAGCCAAGAAGAAAAAGAAAAATGTACAAGTCAGAAGCGAAAAATACTGATTGATTCTGAGTCGAAAATCGCTCAAAAAAAAATTTTTAAAAACAAAAACGGTTAACGTTATTGTAAAGCCTTTCATCCTAGAATCGGATGATTTTAAAAAAGAAAAAATTTTACGTTGGCTCGTAAATGATGATATGATAATGAACGAAATATTGGCCAACAAAAGAAAACTTGTTCCTGAAGACATAAAGATAAAACCGGCAGAATTACACGATAGTTTAGCTGACGATCGAATCGACTTCACATTGATAGAAAATCATTGTGAAATTGACACCTTAAAAAAAATTAAAAAATTGATTAAAATTAAAATTAATGATAACTTGTTCAAGTGCAAACTGTGCAAAGAAAATTTAGAATCTAAATCAATCCAGTGCGACGCTTGCTGGGAGTGGATTGACCAGAGCTGCACAGATTTAAAGAAAATGCCTCTAAAAAACGCGATCTGGTTTTGCACAAAATGTGAATAGTTAATAATTATTAATCTAAAATTTTTTAAAAACTTTCAATTAAAATTTCCCTTCATCTTTATTTTTTTGTTCTAATTATTTCATTAACATTTTACTTACTAATTATTTATGACTGGTATATTTGCAATGTATTTTTATAATATTAATACACATATTACTTCTAAATAAATAAAAAAAAAAACTTTATATTATTCTGATATTTAACTGTCCATTATTTTATGTTACTCATTTTATAAGATATATACAAAATAATAATAATAGTTAATAAAATGTTTACTTTATTTTTATTTGTTTAAATGAAACAGAAAATTCAATTACGAAGAAAAAGATGAAGAAAGAAAAATAAAAAGCTGATGTAAATTCAACAAGTAAGTAATAAAATTAATTACATTCTAAAAAAATAAATATAATAGTACCGAAATTCTTATAACTTAACATTATTTTACCATATTAATGAATGGGTTTTGAAAATTTATCGATTTTAATAATTTAATTGAGCCTTAGAACAAAGTAATAACTCATGCCGACGTGTAGAACGCGAGAGTGATGCACGCTAGCGTGTAGGACGCTAGAGTGAGACACGCTAGCGTGTATTGAGGTCGTTGGAATAAACTTCATGGAGCCTTAGAACAAAGTAATAACTCATGGCGACGTGTAGAACGCTAGAGTGAGGCACGCTAGAGTGATTCACGCTAGCGTGAATGACGCTGAGGTATACCAAAAAGCAAATGAATTGAATTAACGTATTATGTGCGAAATAACACTAATATTTATGGGAAACGGTTAACAAACTATCATAAAGAATAAATTACATTTTTAAAAATATTGTTATATAATCAAAAAGAATTTAATAACTATTAATAAATATTTTTATTAACTTAAAAAAAAAAATTAACTTAAAATAATAAGCGTTTTAGGAATCTAAGATTTTCCATTACAGTTTATTTATTAGATAATAAATGTGTAAATATGTATAAATTACATTTCTAATTGAACCGTATTATTATTAAAATTATTGAATGCATAAAACATTTCTTTAATTCAGATAATATATTTTACTTCTCTACAATCTCGCAAAACGGAGGACATATTACACATTGCATATTTTTTTATGTTTGTTATGAGAAAATAATTCAAGTCTAAGTAAATTTAACAAATTCATTGTAATAATATTAAATTCGATAATGCGCATTTTAGTGCCATCTACAAGATACATCTTACATTATTTCGTCTATTCTGTTTTATTGAGACTACTTCTTTCTTATTTAAATAGTACATCGCGTCACACGACCGCAGCACGGTATATTTCTTACGTTTTCCCCGCAATTCATTTCGTTACCAACTTCTAGGATTAGCACCCCACATACACCGGGCATATTGTCGCCGACCCAATTTTTTTAAATATTTTCAATGAATATTTTTAAACAGGATACAGAACTTTATAATTTTGTGATTAAACTGTAGGTATTGTTTATAAAACGTTAGGCACTCGAGTGGTTTTGACTGATCACGTGATCAAAGTACTGCGAGTACCTTACCTCAAAAACGCCAGTGCTCACAGTAGAATATGGCGACGATTTATGACGTCATATATTTCCCTAGGGTACTGCGGCAGTATACTGGCAGTCCATAACGGAACGAATTTTTCTACAGTGATAGCACTGTGCAGTGCTCGCAGTGCATATCGGAACATACCCCTAATTTTAGTCAGAACTATGGAGACTATACACTATGGAGTGTATAGTCTCCAGTCAGAACAGTACTGTTCTTACGTTAGAACAGTAGAAGCGGCGGAAGTGGTGCCCTCAGTAAAAAACTTGAGAACTATTTCGAATTTAAATTAGTGCATAGCGTAGAGTATGCCTACAACATCGTAATGTGTATGTATTATAAGGGCCAGTTTTTCAATCCGAGATAAAATTTTAAAACTTTATCCAGAATAAAATTATTATTGCCAGTATATCTATAAACATGAAATATATAAATATTTGGCATAGGATAAAATTTTATCTTGGATTGAAAAACTGGCCCTAAAAGATTATACCGAAATTACAAGCTTCTTACAATTGAGTTCTTATAAGGATACGACAATTTTTATTTTATCTGTATGAAAGATAGGCAAAATAATACTGCTCAAGAATAAAAATATTTTATTTACACGGATTTATTATAAAAAATGAGTGATGAAACTTTAAAGTTTATTCATATGTCTCAAAATACTCGATGATTGGTGCCTTTTTTGATTTTGTTATTGTTTTGTTAAGAGCATAATTTTTAGTTTTATTTGGAGTACCGGAGTAAAGTAATTTAACACTCCGCGTTCGGAGTGAATCTGGACTTTTTTCAGCGGAGTGATTCCGGAGTGAATCTGGACTCTAATCCGGAAAACATCCAAGTAAGAAGTTCTTATACTATAATAAATTGTTATTTTAGTGGAACACATTTTATATGCTAAATTTTTTTTTTCGTCGGTATAAAATAAATAAATATTTGTATACATTTGGATATATTAGGGTGGTCCTTATTGAGGGTACGTTCGAATTTTTCTTCACGATAGTTATTCTGAATAGGTTCCAAATATATAAAAAATAAATTTGGGAAACAGTTGACCCTAAAGACCATCCCTGCAACTTCCCGCTAAATTCAGTCATTAAGTGCTTGCAACTTTGCAGTCTATTTCAATATTTTTGTATTATTTTGAGCTTTCCAAGCTCAAAAATTAAGATGTTCGATGCTTTTGAGCTCTTTGAGCTCAAAAATCTGATGGAAGTTTAATAAAACACCATTATTTAAATTTTCAAGCTGCAATTACTTTCGAATGAATAAACCGATTTTCACGCGGTTAGCAGCAATCGATGAAATTATTTAAGTTCTATGAACAATTTGTAAAAGCAAATTGATCAAATAAAAAATTTTGGAGTTTTTTTTTTAAATTCAATTTTTTCGATTTTTTTCGTTCACGGTATCTCTCGAACCAATCAACCAATTTTGTCCGGCCTGGCGGCAATCGACGTGATTTTTCAAGGTTAAAAGCTGATTAGTTTTTGGATTTGATTGATAAAGCCGTTTAAAAGTTATTCCAAAAAAACCACATTTAAAAAATTTTTTATTCTTTGTTTTTTTGAGATTTCTCGAAATCTATCGGTCTGAATCGGTTCAAATTCACAGGAAATCGAAGTTTGAGGGAACTTTTTGGAACGTACGCGCGAACACACACACACACACACACACACACACACACACACACACACACACACACACACACATAGAATTTGTAATTGATTTTATTTTTTTTTATAAAATAATATTTTTTTTTTATCTTAACTGGTAGAGCCTTTGGCGCGTAACCAAACGATCCGGGTTCGATTCCTGGTCCGGGCTGTCCGAATTATATTTTTTCAGTCACTAAAGAGATTCCTACTGAGTAAAATAAGGTCCTCCCCTTTCCCTTATCCTTTATTTACCCAAGTCCCAAATTTGTCGCAGACATTATGACGCTGACATAGCACCGCGGTTATATTGTCGCGCGGTTATTTATAGTCGCGGTTATTTAGTCCGCGGTTATTTAGTCATGGCACCAATAAAAACGACACAGCAGAAAAGCAAAATTAACATCTCAACGCAACGACCGGGTATCCTGTTTTCTCGCAGCAGCTCCTCATTGGAATTTTCCAGATACTGAGAAAGTTATTTTAGCGGTCACCTTGGAATTAAAACAGACCAAGTGGCTCGCTGATTAAGGAAATCTTGGTTAAACCAGACCAGGTTTCCGAGATCCTCAATAAATTATTATACGAGTTAGTTTTGTTAATATTAATTGTAAAAGAAATTTTAGAAATTCTCTAAATTTAATTAATTAATAATTCGTTGGGCTCGTACCACGTTTCATTTAATTATAATATTGAGCTAAGGTCATATAGGAGAATTTTAGAATCACGAACAGTAATTAAATTATTAATAGTATATTACACTAACGAGCACAGAAAGTTGAGATTCCTGCAATGCGCGCCATGATGCCCGAGGCGAAGCCGAGTGAAGAATTATATTGAAAATTCAGTTTTACTATTGCGTAGAGGTCCGGTGGACGCGTAGTTAATTTTAAATCTGTAATTTTATGAAGGGATTTATTATTATTGCAAAATTAAGGACTTGGTTAAATAAATTTGTGAAATTTTTAACGAATTCTGTCTAAAATTATTTACAGCTTCTCACATAATTTCTCTCACGACCTAAGAATAAATTTTGTTTCTTTGCTCTGGTCCGGCTTTGAATTCCAAGATAATACTTCAGTGGTGCCCTAAATAAATTTTATTTGGAACGACCAAGATGGCGACTAACCCCCTCACAATGTATTATGCTTATGATTATTTTTTATGCATATTTTTGTGTCGTTTATGTATATTATAACTACTTTTAACCAATCACGTTACGAATAGTTTGCAACACATATTTTTCATGTTAATTTTGTTATAGGATAATTTTGTTATAGGATCACGTTACGAATAGTTTGCAACGCATATTTCTTATACTTTTCATGTTATTTTTATTATTGGATTGGATTGGGATTTTAACACAATTTTTTCGATTTCAAAGATTATATCAGTTACTTAGTATTTTTTCAATTCATATCTTTTTGCGAAGAATAAGTTTTTCTTTGTAAAATGTTTCGTGAAAGTGAAATTAGTGTGAATTTTTACAATGGAATTATTTTTGTGGGATTTTTTAATCAATCTATATTCAATAGCAAGCATAGACCTTGTAAAATCCACAAGGAGTTATGTTCAATTGTTTTCAGATCAGCTTCAAGTACCATACCTTCTCCCATAGTATTTTCGCGATCTGTTGTTACATAAACAGGGGTTTTCACAGTATTCTGTAGAGAGAAAATAGATATAAATTATAATTTTTGTAATCAGATATGCTATTGTAATAATTAATTTAACAAAAATTTTACAAGCTTTCAAAGCGTCTTAAAAATTCTCTAAAAAATTGTACTGACTGAACTAGGTATGTTTTATTATTTACTTACAAATCGATACTGCCATTCTAATACGTCGTATCCTACAAAATTTAAAAAATGGACTTTTTTTGGAAAAATAGAATCATAACAATATTATGAAAGTCATATTAAAAACTCAAAGGTCAAATAGTTTAATAACTATTCTTAAACAATTATTTTCATCCGTCTAATCCCATTTAATCAATGTTAAAAATGAACCGTTTTTACCGTCTGCTGTAAAATTTTATAAATGTGGGATACGACGTATTAGAATGGCAGTATCGATATTTCGAAAAAAAAATATATTCAGAGAATAATTCACACACCTCTAAATGTATATTAAGAGATTTTTTGGTCGTAATACACAACACTGGAAGTTCATCAAATTTCACTTTAGAATATGATTGTTTCAGGCAATGCTGTTCTCTATCCCACCTTGCCCCTTCTAAGAACAATCCATGTACATTACAACTCTACGGAAAGAATTTTTTATTGATTAAAGATTTACTGATTTTTAAAATGTTAATAAATACCTCACAAAGTCTCTCTTCAATTTCGTCAAATTTTGAAAATTTTGACACTGTTGTGTAAATTGAATAATTATCCAATGGCCAATTATTTTTTTTACAACTCATTTGAAAAAAAGCTGCAATATATGATTCCGGAACATGTAGGCCAGATAACCACATAACAATTGGTTCATTACTTCCCGACCAATCAGTGTACTGGTTCTTTCTTTTATTTATATGGATCATCCAATTAGCCAAATTTTTTTTTGTTGCTGGAGCTAAACGAGCCCATTCTTTAGGTAACTCACCATTGTATAAAGAAGCAGATATACTTTCCATCCTTGTAGTGAAGTTCGTTTTTCCTGCTATTGCCTTTTTAAGGAAAATTTTATGTTATTCTCAATTAAAGTGATTTACAAAATTAAATATTTTTATTACGTTTCTTAGTTGCGTTAACGTTGTATTTATTGTTTTAATCAATTTGTTAAATCTCTCTAATTCTTGAAATAAAACTATAACTGAAGGTGTAACATCCAGACCAAAATTATGTTTTACTTTTGCCATATTAAACTCTGATGGAATTTTATTCAAAACATCTTTTGATACATTATCAATAAGTTCTTCTGGATTCAGCTTTGATAAACTGTTAATAGCTATAATAACATATCATGTTATTTCTATTATAATAATAATTAGTTGTAAAATTTGAAAAAATAAAAAAATTGAAAAAGTAATTAAATATTTCAAGGTGTATGCTCGTATTAGCCGGTGTCTAAATCTAAGTATCAAAAATTTACATATTAAGAAAATAAGATCATATTAAACTGTATCAGACATCAGGGAATTCCGAAAGTATTTTCAATTCAACTTACATTGCTGAGACGTCATTTTATTTAAATTAATCAACATTTCTCTAATGTTTCGAACAAAATAGGTATTTTCTGCATTCAAGTGAAGGCCAAATATTTCAGGAGAATCACTGATAGATAAATTATCTATGAATGAGATATAATCATCTTTACTGCCATCCAACGGAACAGAATGAAGTGTTTCGTTTTTTTTATATAAATAGAATGGTTGAGAAGTATCAAATATAAAATCTCCGAAGTATTCATCAACATAAACTTTAACTATGCGATGATCATATCTGTCAATTACTTTTCCGCCATAAATCACTTCACTTATTAGATATTTAAGACTAGCCCAAGGGAAATCACTAGTAGGTGATAAATTAGTTAAATATGTACCAATAATTGAAGTACAAACAATAAAATCTGATTCACTAAAATCATAATTTATAGTCCAACCAATTTTACCATATCTTTTTCTTTCCTATAAAAAACACCAACAACAATTACTAAAACTTAAAAATAAAAATTTATGTGAAACACTCAATACAAAATTAATCTATGAAATGAGTTCGCCCGTGATACTATGATATTGTTCTGAAATTTTTTTATGCTTTAGAAAAATAAGTTTCAATACTTAATTGACTAGAGAATAACAATCATTAATCAATAGTTGATGTTTTCTTTCAAATTATTAAGTACAAGCTAGTTGTCCATGAATAGTGATGTAATGTATTTATTAAATATTGTTTTCTTAAATACAAAAATTATTAAAATTTTTCGGACTTAACCACATCAAAGAGTGGTTAATCACTGAAAAAAAAAAAAAAATTAACTTAATTCAAGGAAAAAAATCTTGGATCAAGAGAATCATTCTAAATAATTTCATCTCTTGGATTAAAAAAAAATTTCTCAAAATATAAGTTGAATTTACTTAATTAAAAATTTTTTTTTGTTTAATTCAAGATAGTAAAACTCTTCATAATCTCTTGAATTAAAATATTTTGTCTTGAATAGAGTTAATTTTTTTTAGCGTAATCTTATAGATAAACTCATTTGACAGATAAATTCTTCATGGAATATTGCAATACTAATTTACCTGAACTATTGCATGAAAAAATGCAAGAATATAAATGATATGCTTGTACTTCGAATGACTACAACTTTTCAGATTTTCTTCTTGCAGCTTCAAATAAGTATTTTTTAAACTTAACTTCAATCCACTGGGTGGCTCAAGGACAACTTAAATAATGTGAAAAATTGAAATTTAATGATTAATTACCACAATTTATTAAATAAATATTAACTAATATAGTTGTTATCAAGTTATTGTTCTTTAAACAATAACAATAATAGCTAATGACAATGCCACAAAAATTCATAAAATGATGAGTTATACATTTTTAAAAGTTGCATCATGAGGACGTATCGGTTCAAACTACTGGTCTTAGACAAGTTGAACCGAGTTTTGGACACTTGAAATTTTTGAAAAAAAAAATATGTATAAAGTATGAAATATACCTTTTAATGATCTCTGTAATACTCCGATAGGGAAGTCATTGATAAGATCAGTCGTTAGCCATAAGCGAAAATTATCGTGAGGTTTTTTCATATGATTAATTTTTGCTTCAAGTTTTCGAATGAATTCCAATCCTAAATGACAATTTCGTAAAACTAACCACCGTCCTTTAGTCATTGAAATTTCGAGTAGCTTACTAGCTTTCTGATAAATATAAAATATATCTATATTATACTCTCTAAATCTGAAACAGAGACTATTCACTATCTCACAGCTATAAGTATTCCAAGTGGTATAGTTGTGAAATAGTGTGTATACATTATTTTTCAGTGATCTTAAAATAAGAAAAGTCTCAGATCATATGTAATTGTTGGCCGAGGTAAAGTCGATATGTAATATAATATTTGTTCATTTAACCACAAGATTTTGTTGGGATTCAATTAAAAGATTTGATAAATAAAAAATAAATAAATAAATTAACCGTCGGAAATCGTCTGGTAAGTACAAAACATCTTCATTTATACACACTTAACATTTTTTTAATTATTGTAGTACCTGGATGACCGATCATTTTTTTTTTTTTTGTGAATAACCTGAAAACACGGATAAAACGAAATTTTTTAAAAATGAATCCTAGCTAGATCGATTTATCGCCCCCAAAACTCCCTGCATACTGAATTTTATGAAAATCGTTGGAGCCGTTTCCGACATTCAAATTATATTTATATACAAGAATTGCTCGTTTAAGGGAAGAAATAAGTGTAGAAGGACGTTTTCATGCTGATTTTTTATTAATTTTTTTAAGGTATAAAAATTAATGTTATTTATTGAAACTATCAGGTTATTTTATACATATATTTATGAGTGTTTTTTCATATTTTACAACAATATAACTAAAAAAAATAGCGGAAATATCAGCTGATACACATCGTAGGTTGTCATTCAACTTAGCAGTCGGTGTACACGATGGAAGCCACAATTTTTATCTTAAATCAATGGCACAGAAAAATGACTTTTTTTATATGTGTATCTTCTATATGAACCTCAATTCCTAAAAAAAAAAGTAAAAATTAACTATATTTTTTCAATAAACAATATATGAAAAAATGGTAAAAAATCACGATTTATTTGAACAACCCTCTAAAAAATGCAAATTTTTACTTTTTTTTTACCATTTTTTCATATATTGTTTATTGAAAAACAAATAGTTAATTTTTACTTTTTTTTTTTAGGAATTGAGGTTCATATAGAAGATACACATATAAAAAATAGTTATTTTCGATACGTATGCGCAAAGGCAGGGATTTTGACAGCTTGAAGTGACGTCACGAGTTTGAGGCTATGGCGCATTCTTATATATCAAGACCGAGTCATTTATTCGGACGAGCGTAGCGAGTCCGGATATAGTACGAGGTCTTGATGAGAATGTATCATAGTCTCAAACGCGTGCCTTCATTTCAAGTTTGTCAGAATCTCTACCTTTGAGCATAAAGGATCGAACATAATTTTTTGTCATATCAATTGTGAAAGTTGGATTTGAAAGAACCGTGAAAAATGTCTTATCATTGTTTATTTTATTTAAAGTAATTGCCATAGTAGTTAAATTAGGTGGAGTTGATGTTTTTGTTAATAGTTCACTCATTTTTATTAATAACTTTATAATTTAAACACAAAGCCTGTCAGACGAGATTAAATAGCGACGGATTAAATCTACGTATATGTTGAAGTCGGGTTCCATGATAATTGATCCCCGTAATTTAAAACCACGACTAATGATCCCACGTAAATTGATCCCACTGAGAACTGATACCACTAACAACTGATCCCACCGACAACTGATCCCACCCACCATGTTGTGCCCTTTTATCAAGGATGTTATGTGTGTTTATTCGAAAGTATACGAACACATAAGCTTTTAACTCCCACCAAGACGCTGCCCCGATCTTACTAGATGTACAGTCAACGCTAACTGTATTGGACCTCTCTGTATTTGACGACATTCTTCCTCTGTATTTGACGATTTTACACAGCTCTTATGGACAAGGACGAGTCATATACAGAGGATGGTCCTGTACGGGCGAGTCAAATACAGAGAGCGTTGACTGTTGTGTAGAATAATAATTCATTTCTTTTCAAATGGGGGGCTTTGCCCCCCAACCCCCACCGGGGCTCCGCCCCGGACCTTCTGAGGCTTCCCCAGCACGAACCTCAATAACTTTTTTGTTGAGGTTTGACCCCGCTAAACCTTGGGATCATTTGTCGGTAGGATCATTTGTCGGCGGGATCATTTGTCGGCGAGATCATTTGTCGGTGGGATCAATTGACGCTGGGATCAAATTACAGGTATTATTTGTCGCTGTATTAAATTCCGGGGATCATTTAACGTGACACCGTTGAAGTCGTTTACAAGATTCGACTATAGCGTATTTTAGCAGCCGTGCAGAAATGTAGAGACAGATAGAGAGAGAGAGAAGTTACTTTTGGATTCTAGAACGAGGTAAATTAACTAAACTATAGAGTGTCAGAAATCGTATTCTTTGCGCCCTCTGTGTGTTGCTTGAAAATCCAACTTTCACGGTTGATATGTCAAAAAGTAATTTTTCTTAGCCATTGATTTCAGATAAAAATTGTAGCTTCCATCGTGTACACCAACTGCTAAGTCGGATGACAACCTACGATGTGTATCAGCTGATATCTCCGCTACTTTTTTAGTTATATTGTTGTAAAATATGAAAAAATACTCATAACTATATCTATAAAATAACCTGATAGTCTCAATGAATAATATTAATTTTTATACCTTGAAAAAATTAATAAAAGATCAGCATGAAAACTTCCTTCTACACGTATTTCCCTCCTTAAAGGTACTAGATTAGATTAGATATGTGGGTCATTCCATGTCAAATCAGCTAATCTTTGAAATCGACCCCTTTCAATTTGGATGGATTTTGGTTAAAAGTTTTCTTTTATTATAAAACAAAAATTTGCCGAAGGAAAAAAATTTTTTTCGAAAGTTATTCAAAATTCAAAATTTTACTATTTTTAATTTTTAATTTTTGAATATCTCGAAATCCATCGTAGATACAGAAATGATCTTATATTTGTTCTCGTATGTCTTATGTTTATTATAGTATAGAGACACGAAATTTTGAGGTCAAATTTTTTACTACAATATACTCTAAAATAATCTTAAGAGATCTTGGAAAATTTCAGAGAGGTGTTTCTTTTTGTTTCAAAGTTATGCATTTTTTAACCTTGGCAAAATTTTTATTTTTTCCTCTAAGTCAAATATAGTTAAAAAAACATTTGATGTTATTATTATAATGTGTATACCTTTTCTTGGCCTTTTCCCAGAAAGATAATCATCAGTTTTTCAGCATTAAAACCATGAAATTCTGCAAGTGTAGTAAATTCTGACGTTAACTCTACTCTTGGGCTTAAAATCAATACAGCTGGAATATATGAATCGATTTGTTTGTAAATTGTTTTAAAACTTATAATACGAGGAGTGATAAATCTAACTCCCAAACAATCAGTCACATATTTAATAATTCCACAGTAAACTCGATCAATACGAAAACATTTAATTAGCATGAGTTTTTGAAATGGATGTAATTTCTTTGAATATTCACCAGGATATGGACTCGATTCAGGGGTATCTAATTTATACCATCGATACCAGTCATTGGAATTAACTTGTAACTCATTGTATAAGTCAGAAAAATTCCCGAATCCGACTGACAGTTGAAAAATATCCGCTAAACTAGACGAAGGAAGCCATTGAATATGATTTCGCTGAGAACTTTCTACTGAAGTATTTTCTTTTATAAAAAAATTTAACTCTTCTTGACTGATGCAACCGATACTTAATTCAATTTTGGTACAAATATGAAAAGAAAGTAAAACTTTATGTTTTTGAAAAATACCTAAACACCCATAATCAAAAATATTTATTGTGAGAGTTTCAATTATACTGTCTATACGTTCCGTTATCGACATATTTAATGATGGTGCTTGTTTTAATAAACGAGTAAATAATTCCAAATAACTTGACAATGAATATTGATACATAGGATCTAATGCAGCGAGATCGAAAAGTACAAAGAATAACACTGCTCCCCTCGTAGCAACTGGACGATAACTTTCGCTTATCTCTTCAATATCTGCCGCTGCATTTTTGTTTTGATCAATTTTAAGAGTCATTTCACGAATGTTGGCCTTGATTTTTCCCAAACTTTCTAATAAGTCAATATCTTGTAATAAGGGTTTTCTACTTGTGGATATTTTTTCAAAAAATTCGTTTTCAGATTTTTTAATAGAGCTTTTAATTGCATTGATCTGTGTAGTTAATTTATTTTTCTTTTCTTCAATATCTGATTTTTCTAATCCCATAACGATTGATAATAGTTTATTTTCAAGGGCCTGTAGTAAATTTTTATTATTATTTAAATTTTTTTCCCACACTTTTTATTGCAAGTCGGGAAGAAAAATTTAGGCCAAATCAGATCAAATATATCAAATTCGGGAGAATCTACATTACTTATTAAATATTCTATACAAAAAATTTTAACTTTAAATTCATTGAAAAGGACAGTTAATTTTTAAATCTGAAGTAAATAATGTTATTTATTAAAATAAACAATTTTTATTAATGGTTTTCTCAATTTTTTTGATATTTTTCTGCACCCATAAATTAACTCATCCTGGCAAATTTTGAGACTTGTTTAATTTACCCTTTCAGAAATATTAAATTTTCAAAAACAAAAAATTGTTTTTTTTTTTTTCTATTTTTCACTTATAACTTCTTCAATAATTGTCCAATTGAAACTTTTTTTTTTTCAGTCTTCGTTTTTTTGTGTCGTTTCTAGAAAAAAAAAAAGTTTGGAAAATCCAAAAGTGCACGCCTCATAACGCTCATTCATTTTTTAAGAAAAAAATTAGTTGTGTAATTGATTAAAAAAAAAAAAATTAGAAAAACGGTTGACCCTAAAGGCCATCTCGGCAACTTCCCGCTATTTTCATAATTAAGCGCTCAAAATTGCACTTATTACGTTTTTGAACTCTTTGAGCTCAAAAATATAGTTTTCGTGTCTTATAGAGCTCTCCAAGCTCAGAAATCTGATTAGAAGTTTAATAAGACACTATTTTTTGAATTTTCAAACCGCAATAACGTTTGAACGAATGAACCGATTTTCACGCGATTAACAGCATTCGACGCGGTTTCTTAAGGCTCATGAATCTTTAAGTTTCAATTGATCGAATTAGGAATTTCGAAGTAATTCCGAAAAAACACGTTTTTCGGTTTTCTTTCGACAACGATAACTCACGAACGAATCAACCGATTTCAACCGGGTTAGCAACGATCGACGTGGTTTATTTTATTTTAAGAGCTGATTAGTTTTTTAAATCGATCCGTTAAGCCGTTTGAAAGTTATTCCAAAAAAACCACATTTGAAAAAAATTATTTTATAGTTTTTTTAAGATTTGTCAAAATCTACCTGTTTGAATCGGTTCAAATTGTATTCAAAATCTAAGTTTGGTCAACCCCTTTCGAATGGCATCAACCACGATAAAATCGGTCTAGCCATTTAAAAGTTATGAAAGGTTTACATACGGCCACACACACACACACACACACACACACACACACACACACACACACACACACACACACACACACACACACACACAGCCGCACGAATACCATCGTACCATTATTAGAATCTTAAAACGTCGAGACTTTATGAAAACTCGATTTTCGCAAAGAGCGGTAAAACCAACTATTTTTTGATTTAAAAAAAATTTCAATTTATCTTAGCGAGAAGTTAAAAATTAAATTTAACGTTTATTAACAAATTTTTTTGTACGTACGACACACACACACACACACACACACACACACACACACACACACACACACACACACACACACACACACACACAGCCGCACGAATACCATCGTACCATTATTAGAATCTTAAAACGTCGAGACTTTATGAAAACTCGATTTTCGCAAAGAGCGGTAAAACCAACTATTTTTTGATTTAAAAAAAATTTCAATTTATCTTAGCGAGAAGTTAAAAATTAAATTTAACGTTTATTAACAAATTTTTTTCGACGAACAAACAGCAGCATTACTTTATGTCAAAAACAATAATCATCTAAACAATACAAAAAGGTTACGCTTTCGATAGGCATCTTTTGTCACTACCCCGTTACTATTTAAGAAATAAAAAAGAAAAATTTCTTCTGCCAGAATTGAAATATTTAAACCCACAATTAAAAGTAAAAATTCGACAATCTTGACAATTGTTAAATACCTAAAATCGGAAAAATTTTTGAAATCGGGTAAATTTCTTTTTTAAACTTTATTGTTTAACCGAGAATAAACGAAATCACAAATTTTTTTTTATTTTTCTTCGTTTTTGAGTGTAGTTTCTAAAAACAATAAAAAAAAACTATTCATATTTTGTTAATTAATAAAAGGATAATTAATAAGAAGAGTGAAATAAAAATTTTTTGCCGTCGCATTATTGTTTATTCAACTTTTTAGCGGGTATCTGATGTTTTTCATTCCTTAAAATTTAACTTTAATTAGTTAAAATAATTTTTTTGTGCAAGCGTCAGAGTAGACCGATGCGTGCGTGCGCCAGAGTCACGCGTTATTTCCGTATTTTTGCTGCTCAATTAAAATGATTAATAACTAGTTGTATTTAATATCTTGGTACCTAATATCTAGGTGAACTTTTTGTTCTTGTTGATAGGGCTATTAAGTTTTGCAGTTAAAAATATGATTTCGATAACTATTGGTCGGAGCGAAATTTGATCTCGCTTATTTTACTATTTTTAATATAGAAAAAAAAAAAATTTTAATCGGCGTATTAATTTTTTTAAGTCGTATATAAACCGAAGAATATTCCTCAACTGATTAGACTATATACATAGCATAGAATATTCTACAGCAATTTTTTTTTACATTAAGTGGTGCCCTTACTCTAACAGGTCAAAAATCAGCACCCCCACTCCCTACTTCAAGTACACTTTACCGTCAGCAGTATACTTACTAGTTTAGTATTGCTGCTCAGCTTCTAGCATTCACAACGTGCAAATACTAATCTTATATTTCAAACCAAGTGTCACATCAAGTGTTGTTGATAATTTTAAAAATAAATCATTTTGCAAACCATCAAGTTATAAAAAAATGGCTCAATTTTTGGGATCTTTCAATGAAAGAAACTTGCAGTTCACACCAAGTCGGCTCAGCGGAATCGACGAGGTAACAGAACTCCAACTTCTTCAAGAAACGGCGCTACTGATTGGACAAATTACCAGGGGTCTTGGTTTACCAGAGGAATGCGCCTGGGTGGCTATGACATACGTTCGTATATTTTATTTTTTTGAGTCGCGGGAGTTCTACCAGGATGACCTTGTAGTACCAGGGGCAATTGTTTTGGCTGCTAAGGTTATCGAGAGACCTCGAAATGTGGACGATGTCTTGGGAGGCCTCTACTTCCACCTTGAACTGCCTTTAGAAACATCAATTGAAAAATATCGTCAAATAGTTCAAGGTGTGTCTAAAATAGAGAGTGAACTTGTAAGATTATTTTCTTTTAATTTGACGATACCACTTCCCACTAAGTATCTAAGCAAATTTTTTGCAAAGATCAATGCTAAGGAAGAGTTCATCGCTTCTGTTAGAGGTGTGGTTGGGAACCTAGGTCAGTACACCAACTTCGGACTGATGTTCTTGCCCCAGGAGGTTGCCTGTTTCTCTATTTATTTAGTGAAAAAGATGATATATTGGGAAATTCCGGAGAAGGTTTCGGGGATGCCGTGGATGGAGTTCATCTACCGGACTGCGACTCCTGAGCTACTTCACACAATGGAACTTGAGTTCGCTAGACATTGTTCTATGGCACTGTCGTTCGTCAAGTCTGAATTCTCGACAGCGCTCAAGATCGGAGTTCCTGCTGATGAACAGACATATAACAATAACAACAAACGAAAAATCGAAGAAGATCCCGACTTGATTGAAGTAGGAATCAAAAAAATAAAAAGAGAGTTTTAAATATTTTCTTTTCTTTTTTTTTTGTTATTCTTGTTCGTCACTTTTTTATTTGACGGTAGCTATAAGAAAAAAAAAATAATGGCCCTTTTCAGGGCCACCAAATTTTTAAAAACGTAACTGACTTTTCAAGTTAAATTTTTACTTGAAAAAAAATTTAGTTATTATTGTGCCCCAATAATGGAATTATTCAGGCTCTATAACCACCTATTTTTATCTGATCTTAAAATATTACCAATGTATTTTCACAGCATTTAGTCCAGTCGGCAGGGAAATATTAGGCGGTTTGTTTACGACTTCCAATGCAAATGGGGTAAGTTGCAATTTTTTTTTTTAAATACTCAGAAAAAAATGTAGATCATTGAAAAAAAAAATTAGGAAAACGGTTGAGCTTCAAGGCCATCCCTGCAACTTCCCGCTAATTCCGTTAATACATGGCCGTTTTTTTGAGCTCTTTGAGCTCAAAAATACATTCTGTGTGTTGTTTTGAGCTCTTCAAGCTCAGAAAGATACCTTTTGTACGCTTTTGTGCTCTTTGAGCTCAAAAGTCTGAAAGAAGTTTCATAGAACTATTTTTTGAATTTTCAAACCGCAATAACTTTTGAATGAATGAACCGATTTTGACGCGGTTGGCGGAATTCTATGCAGTTTTTTAAGCCTAATAAAGAATTTTTAATTTTTAATTGTTCAAACTATAAATTTCGGAGTAACTCCGAAAAAACACTTTTTTCGGTTTTCTTTCGTTCACGATATCTCTCAAACGAATCAACCGATTTTGACCGGATTGGCGGCGATCGACGTAGTTTTTCATGGTTGAGAGCTGATTAGTTTTTGGAATCGATCGGCAGAGCCGTTTAAAAATTATTCCAAAAAAATCACCTCTGAAAAAACACACACACACACGCACACACATACAGACATAGTGACACCCTCGCGGGAATAGTCAGAAAAGCTTCCTAGGACCTCAAAACGTTGAGATCTGATGACAACTCGATTTTCGAAAAACGGGGTAAAACCAATAACTTCCCGATTTTTGAAAATTTTCAATTTTCTTAGCGGGAAGTTAAAAATTATAATTAAGTAATTTCTTACAGAGTATTTTTTTTTTTTTAACATCGGCGCCCTTTTTTCTTGTCATATGCGCACGCAATCTAAAAAAATCTAGCTTGATCAAGTGGCGCCATAGTTTTCACGTGACAAATAAGAAAAGTTCGTTTGACTTTGTACGGTTGTATCGTAGTGAATTTTAATAAAAATTCAATTTAAAAAAAATACGTAAGCTAGGCCACTGATATGAAATACGGACCCAGTTCATCAAATTCTTAAACTAATAAAAAAGGTCCGGTCTTGAAATATCAATTTGTTCGGGAGTAATTGTTGGTACATCCAAAATGGGGTGACATCCCGACATTCACGTCAAATTTTTTTCAAAACGTTTTTTTTTTTTCAAAATAGCAACATGAAATGATTTTAAAAAGTAAAAGATGGTTTAATTTAAGTGTTTTTTCAGTGTACATCTACTTATATCATTGTATAAGTGTAATATGGTTGTGATAGAGGCATTTAAAGATCACAAAATTGCTTGACCTTGATAAGTCGAGTATAAAGTAAAACCTCACGCGCTTCGCGCTATGAGGCGTGCAATTTATTTAAAGTGGTCACTGGTGTGGTTTTTTAATTTTAAACTTAAAATCTTTTTTTTTTAAGTGAGTTCTCACTTAAAATCAATTAAAAGTTATTTAAGTCTGTTAATAGATAACATTAACTAAATTTATTATTTATCCACATACTTTCTTAAAAATTATCGCACATTTACTTCATATTGAAATTTTGATCAAACTTGATCTGATTTGATCTACTAATTTATAAAAAAATTCGACTTTAACTGTAATTTTGAAATGTACTTAAAGTATCTTAATTTTTAATATTAATTTAAAATATATAGTTTGAAAAGTTTTTTACTCACTACTGTAGTAGTCATGTAATTAATAATAGTTGCTTTCGAGAATATTCTAAGGTTGAAACTGGGATTTGAAATTTTAGTTATGAAGTATACCCGAAATTTTACATTGTAATCTCTTTGTGTACTATTTTGGTTGATTAAAGATTGTCCATTAACACCTACAAAGAAAATAATTTATTTATTTAGTAATAATACATGATTATAAAACAAGTACTTACTTTGTATGATTTTTGCTAAAATATCATCCAAAATGTAATGAAAATAATCAAAGTCTTGAAAGATTACTGAAAATCCATCTTTAACAGCCGATTCAAATTGTTCCATATATTCTTGATCATAAAATGAAACAATTTTCAAAGGTTTTTTTTCTATTTTCTTAATCCAATTCAATGCTTGTTGATGAGGATCAATACAAATAAGCAATTCGGAAGAGAACATCGTTAGAATTCCATTTTGAATTGAAAACTCATCTTGTGATAAGTCCTGAAAATTCCATCCATTTTTTTGAATACCATCAGTCAAGTATTTTTCCAACCTAAATGATTTTGATACTGGGATGTTTTTTTCGATAATGCTCTTCATCCAATCATTATAAAGCATTTTATTTCTCAATTCAGCTGTGAAAGGTCCACAGTATATTAAAAATCCAGCAGACATTAGACAATTCCCAATGATGCATTCAGAATCAACTCTCATATATTTTAATTCCTCTTCCCACTTATCACTATCAGATAAAAGCTCGTTTGTCATTTTATCAACGAAGATTAAGTATTTTTGCAAAGAGTCTATTTCTTCTTGCAATTCTCGTTTTCTAGATGTTGCATCGTTGTATTTCATATTTAATTCTGTTAATTGTTTTTCTAGGTTTTCTAATTTATTTTCTCCTGTTCTGACTCCCATTTCAATGCATTCCGAATCAATTTCATAATTTTTTATTTTTTCTGATTTTTGACAGAAAGTATATAAACGCAATGTCACTTGCAGAAATTGATACAATTCAAAAGCGATTTTACTAATTGATTTCAATTGGTCAAATTCATTAAAATTTTTCAAACGAGCATCTATTAATTGTTGTTGTTCAATAGTTATTTCATTAACATCCAATTCTTGCAAAGATTCAATAAAATCTGGATCACTAAGTAGATTTTGAAAACTTTCCCATGAAATTTCTTTCGAACCTTTTATTATTGCGATACACTCGCCAACCATTTGCACCAAATGTGGAGGTTCTGAAAGTAATTGCAACTCTACAAGATCACTGTTCTTCAAATCGTTTAATGTTGTTTTGATTATATTCAGTTCAAAAAAAACATCGGTAAATATTTCTTTATCGTGTGCAGATTCTTGAATTATCATTTTGTTGCTTTCTTTATTAATTTTATCTTTTATTGATAAACTAATTTTTTTCATTTGTACAATGATTTCATTTAATTCTTTTATTAAAGCTTCTAAGTTATTACATTCTTCTATTTTTTCAATCACTGCTGTCTTTTTAATTGATAATTTATTATTTAATTCAATCGAGTACTTAGACACTTCAGTAATTTTATTTAAGCAAACCAATAATCGATTATATTGAAAAGTTGTACTATTTTTTTTATTTGTTATAAGTGTTAAGTAAGTCTTTATAAAATCTACATAATGTTTTGGTGTTGTGTAGTTATTTCTTCGATACTTTTCGAACAATTCCATTGTATACTTTTTAATATTAACATGTACATCAACGATATGCTGAACAACTTGATCATGATGATCATCAGAAATATCTCTATTCTGTAAGGATTTAAATAAATTTATGCTATAATTGTTCGATTAGACATCTTATAAATAAATCATTTCAAATGAATTTATTGAAATAGTAAGATTGAGCGAGCCTACTATAGGCAGGCGATGCTCGATCTCAATTATACCGACAGCTTTTTATTATAGGCTACTGTTAGAAGATGCGATACCAGAGAATTTTTTTCTATGTCGTCATCACATATAAGTGATTACGCTGAGCTAGTAGTGTTAAGAGTGCTGTACTGAGCGCCTTCATTAAATATTTTTATCAAAAAATATGACTAATAAACAAGTCGGTTACTATTAATAGAGATGAACTTTTGTCTTTTGGGCCGAAATGTGTGAAATAAAGAACGTACATAAACGGTACTACAATAGATCCTCGATAAGTCAAACCTCGATGACTTAAAAACCTCTACAACTTAATAAATTTGTGTATTCCCTTCCCTTCAAACCAGAAAACCTCCATTACTTAAAGCACGAAACCTCCACAATTTAAAAAAATAATTTGAGCATTTTGGCCTTTGACAACTCAAAGAAGTACCTATGTGACCTCTATAACTTAAAGTATTCATCAATGACTCATTAAATTATTAAGATTCTATTGTACTTATCAATGATTCATTGTAAATATTTATCAGTGACTCATTGTAAGCAAACAAAAGGCTTTCTCCAAAACTTTAGTGTTTTGAATTTCAGTCGTTCACTATACAATATATCGTTGTTGAACGTTTAAAATTGAAAGTAAAATGAAACAAAAACTGAATACGCAAACATATGCTGATAAGTTAAGAGCTATAAGTAGAAGCTGTAAAAAGTGGTTCAAAAAGGAAAGATGTTATAGCTGAATTTGGAATACATGAAAGCACGCTATCACTCATATTGCAAAGTGAAAATGAGTTGTTGAGAAAACAAGAATCAGGATAGAGTTTTCATTGTAAGAGACGACAAATTTCTCAATTTTCGAATTCAGAACAATGTTTGTTTAGTGGGCCAATAATACTAAAAGAAAAAACCGAAGTGTTTGTTAATTCATTAGAAATTATATACTCTGTACTGAGTGATCGTAAGAATGAAGCTAGAGATAGGGCAGGGGGGGGGGGGCAAAATGGGTCCCCTAAGAAAAAAATGTTGATATCCTTAGTGTTTTTCTCTGGTTTTACTTTTTTTTAGTCCCTTGCCAAGTATTTGACCTCAATTTGCTCTGTTCATTAAAAAAAAAAATTGAAAATGTGGGGAAAAATGGGCCACCTTCGGAAAATTTTTATAATATGAGTTTTTCCGCTCATTTTATTTTTTTTGGCCTTTTACTGAGTTTATGATATTAATTTTTTGCGTATATCGATATGAAAAAATTGAGAAAAGTGGGGCAAAACGGGCCCCCCAAAAAACTCAATATGTTTCTTACTTGTTTTATATTTTGAATTTTTTTATTATGTATTCAGTATAAAAAATTAGGATAACGGTAGACCCTAAAAGCCATCCCTGCAACTTCCCGCTAACTCCATACCTAAGCGCTCCACATTTCACGCCAAAAGCAATAATAAATCAGGTAAAAAATGTCGGAGTAATTTCAAAAAAACGCGTTTTTTGAATTATTTCGACAACGGTATCTCTCAAACTAATCAACCAATTTTAATCGCGTTAACGGCGATCAACGCGAGTTTCCAAGCTTAAAAACCGATTAGTTTTTAGAATCGATTGGTGAAGCCAATAAAAATGTATCATAAAAAAAACAATTTTTTAGAATTTTTTTGACAACAATATCTCACAAATGAATTAACCGATTTAAAAAAAATTAAAGGCATTCTATGCAGCCTTTCTAGAACAAAAAGATTATTTATCACTAACCAAACAATCGGACATGAAATTTCGAAGATGTGTTAAAAAAATACTTTTTTAATTTTTTTGTTAATTTTTTTAAAATTAAATATCTTTCGAACCATTCAACCGATTTTGACGTTATTGGCGGCGATTGAAGTGATTTTTTTAAGCTCTAAAAATCATCTCGTTGAATCAAAAATGATCCAGGAATAAATTTCGAAGTTATGTAAGAAAAAAAAACACTTTTTCCCAAATATTTTGTTCACGATACCTCACAAAAACGAATCGACTGATTTTGATCGCGTTGACGGCGATCGACGCAGTTTTGTAAGTTTAAGAGCTGATTAGTTTTTGAAAACGATTGATTCAGCAGATTAAAATTTATTAAAAAAAAAAACATTTTCTGAAAATTTTATTTTCGAGATTACTCAAAATCTATTGGCCCAAATTACCTTAAATAGTATAAAATATCTAGGAGCAAAGAAACTCTTTCGATTGCTGTCAATCCCATTTGAATCGGTCGAGCCGTTTAAAAGTTATGAGAGGTTTACATTCATAGACACACACACACACACAGACACACACACACACACACACACACACACACACACACACACACACACACCTCGGGGCAGAAGAGATACTGCTACCGGGCGCGTCTCCTCGAGCGGATGGGAGGATGCTCGCTGTCCTTGGATGACACTTAATCTCTTAGTTGATGAGGTACAGCAGGTAGGAGCCAAGCAAAATAACCAAACAGAATACGCTCCCGTGAACCAAACTCCTCTTTAATGGGTTGGTCACACTAACTGACCTAACAAGACGATCGGTCCCTGCTATAACTCACTGGGAGTGTCCGGAACCTGTATCGTAGTTTCCGACGATGCAGGCCACGGCTGATGTGAGCTTGCTCTGCCGAGGTGTAAGTTGCGGCAGTGGATCAGGAGCCAGCCACTTCGGGCCTTGATCAGGAAGTACGCAGTGAGTGTCAGAGATCGGAATCTTCACCGCTCCGAGCGAGTCTAGTCCGTCCGTGTATTCCGGGACTGGCTAAGTGTCGGCTAGGCCTCAGGGAACTGAGGTAGGAGTACTATCTCCGAGGGTACACCCATTCCTAGTTATGACAACCCGCTCCACTCCGTACAATGCGCTGGTAAATCAAAAAGCATGAGTAAAAATATGGAAACAAACAAGAGTCAAAACGGGGCTCACACCCAGCAAGCAGCTATCGTAGCAAGCGCTGAGATGAAGAGGGCACAAGCGCTGGAACGCCTTGATAAGCTTACTAGCGAGCTGCATGAGTTTGTTGAGTCTAAAGTCAACATCCACAAAGAGATCAAGACGAAGACAACCGGCGTAGTCAACGCCCTTCAAAGGTTCAGAACACTTGATGACGGATGGCAGGCACAACAACGGCAAACTCCCAATGTCACACCGAAGAAGAGCAGACAACCTGCCGCAGACACCGTCGAAGAGATGGACACCGGTGCCGAAGGCGATGGTGAATCTGTAACAGAAGACAGAAGCGACACTGGTGTCAGGTCTGGGAAGAGGAAAGACCGTAACTCTCCTGACCCAACGGTCAACCAAGTAATAAAGAAAAAGGACACAAAACCAAGTCCTCCGAAAGAAGTGGCGGCACGGAGTGCCAAAAATAAGGAGGTCGACGCGTGGCAAAAAGTAGAATCGAAGAAGAGAAGGCAGGAGCAGGATCACCTCTCAAAGCAATTGCCGAAGGAGCCACGACCGGAACCTAAGCGGAAAAAATCGCGCAAATGGATCAGACCTGACGCGCTAATAATCCGCCCTGCCGAAAAAGAGAAGTATTCCGAGATATTGCGCCGCATAAAGCGTGATGTCCCAGCAGACCAGGTTCGCAATACCGTCGAGAAGATCCGCAGGACGATGACCGGAGATATGCTGATCACGTTGTCAAGGAAAAGTGCTGACAAAGACCAAGCCTTGCAGAGGACTATCACAGGAATTCTTCAAGACGATGCTAAGGTAGTCTGTAAAGGTCCACAGGAGACCATTGAGATTCGAGACATCGACGAAGAAACGACGAAGGAAGAGATCCAGGCCGCCCTGAAAGAGGAAGTTGGAAAAGATCATGAGATACCTCTAGAAGGAATAAAAATCCGTAAGGCTTTCAGAGGTACGCAGACGGCTGCAGTCGCTTTACCTATGACCATCGCGCGAAAATTAGTGGAAGGAACCGGCAAGATCCATGTCGGGTGGGTTAACTGCCAAATCAAAGCGACGACGAGACCTATCCAATGCTTTAAATGCTGGCACTTTGGACATGTTGAGCCCTAATGTAAAAACCAAGTAGACCGATCTAAACTCTGCATCAGATGTGGACATCTGTAGGGCACGGAGAAGGGCACTGTATCGCGGACTGTAAAAATTCTGCCAAGTGTGCAATATGTGCTGACCAGCAAGGAGCAAAGGACGTGGCTCACCATGCCTGCACCTACAGATGCCCGGTATTTCAGGAGGCGCTCCAGAAGTTGACGAACAAACAAGCATGAGGATATTACAGCTCAATCTCAACCATTGTGAAGCAGCGCATGACCTGCTCATGCAATCCGTGCGAGAATTAGAGCTGGACTTAGTACTGATAGCAGAGCCATATAAACACCTGAGTACCCAACCCTGGGAATCTGACAGCACATCCAAAGCTGTCATCTGGTCATGTGGCAAGCTTTCTTTCCAAAATGCAGTCAACAACAGCAATGCCGGCTTTGTAGCAGCATCAGTAGAAGGCATCCGCTTCTATAACTGCTACGCACCACCTAGCCTCTCCATTGTTGACTTCACTGATTTCCTAGATCGACTAACCGAAGATGCGAAGCAATACCATCCAGTAGCGATAGCCGGAGACTTCAACTCCTGGGCAGTTGACTGGGGCAGCAAACATACAAACGCACGAGGGAAAGCACTACTGGAGGCCTTTACTACACTAGATGTAGTTTTGCTCAACAGTGGTGATACGCCGACCTACACCAAAGGTGACGCAAGCTCAATTGTAGACCTCACTTTTGTCAGTAATAGCCTTGTCAGAGGCGACTGCAACTGGAAAGTGTTGGACATCTACACTGCCAGCGACCATCATGCGATATTCTGGGAAATATCAAGCGACCAGAACCCCAAGAGACCAGTCAAGCAGTCTAACATCGTTGGTTGGAAGGTAAAATCTTTTGACCCAGAAGCATTACTAATAGCCCTCGATGGTGATCCGATCAACACTGGATGTGCAGAAGAACAGACTAAGGACCTGATGAGGAGAGTAACACATGCTTGTGATGCCAGTATGCCTCGTAAACGTGGCATGAATTCGAGACCTTCGGTGCATTGGTGGAACGACCACATCAGCGTCCTCCGTAAAAAGTGTCATAAGAAAAGAAGAATCTCTCAGCGCGGCTATCAACG